ACATTCATAATTGAGTCTTGCAGCGGGAGGTGATCTTCATGTGGTTCCAGTTTCCAGTTGTTACGAACCTCAAATGCATAAAGTGAGGTGATCCTTGTGCCTCAAGACTACAGCTAATCCACTGAACCTGAGATATTAGGCTGGTTTTGTGTATAAAGTCAATCTGCCGCCTCAAATTACCATCCCAATCTCTTTCTCTTTCTCCTCCTCCTCCTCCTCCTCCTTCTCTCTCTTCCTCTTTTTCGCCTCTCTACCAATAGATTGACAACCTATGAGTTGGAAAGCAATTTGGAGGAGAGATTATGCCTAATGCTAGTTCAATTATTTACCCACTGGTTGAGGGACACTTTTCTTCCTCCTCCTCCCTCCTCTCCTCTTTGTCAAAGTCTATTTGGCTTGTGGATTACTTTTTTCCACTGCAATATCTCATTTTAGCACACCCGCATCTTTTAATGATCCCAATGAGGGAGCCACTGAGAGATGCCATTGTCATGGAGACAGATTCGTTGTGCGATCTAAGTAAAAGCCAATGAATTAAGTTTGTAGCTCTCGTCCTGTTTTAAGCCTCTGCCTTGAGGCTTTTAACGACACCCTCTTCGCTTGCCCACCACTGATCCGATTCTTAGTACGACAATTTAGTAAAGACACCTAAAGAGCTATCTGGGACGACTTTGTTTGAATTCCTTTTACCCCCCCACTGAAGATGCAGTTGGACTTGCATCGAATTGAGAGGCGTGGCAGTGACAACTTCACTCCACCTATTAAAGCGTGTTGATTTGGTCAGCATAATTTTGCTTCCAGGCAGAGGTATGGCGGTGAGAAGAGTCGAAGCTCCGCAACAGTACGATTTCATCCTTCTCCACTGATTGAGATGCAGACGCCTTTGAATGAGACTTCGAGGGCAAAGGACTACATTCAACCTACCTCCACAGTTACAGCTGTCGTCACGGCTTCCTCAGAGCAAAATGCACCTCCCGCCTACAAACCTCCGACTCAGGTAGCGCTTTCGGATGCTATTCGATGCACGTCAATTCATTGCATTTGTTTTCAACACGGTGTAGAAGTGGGGCAAATTCTTGATGCTGTCTTTAATACCCTACGTGTACATCATCTGGTCCCCATGCTATGCGAAGAAAAAGGAGGATGAGAGGATGATTAGCAAAATTTTTTGCTTTCATCAGAGTCGGAAGGCACCGTCTCTCTCCATGCGAACACCAATGTTGCAAAAGTTTCGAAAAGCTCCGCCCCCACCTCCACCTACCTCGATAATTCGTGATGAAGGAGAATTTGCCAAATCCACCACCGCCATTCACTTCTCCTCCTCTCTGGACGCGGGGAATTTAGAGGCGGGGCTCAGTGAATACCTCATCAAGTCGCCTCCAACCTACTCCACTGCCAGAAGTACTTCCACCGGCTCTGGTGAGTTAGCAAAGACGTTGAATTTTAGGGGATGCACGTAGAACACACATTGTCTGTCTTTAAGGGCCTCAAGTCAGCCTTGTACGTCTCCCTCTCTCTCTCTCCTTTTCCAAAGATCCAGCTATGAAAGTTTACTTGAGTCTTTGGATTGGGTAGTTGTCTCATAAACTCTTTTGTAGATCAAGAAGGTGACTTTAGGGAGCTTTATTATCTCTGAAATTCTAAAATACAAAAGCGATGTCTTACAAAATTGGCCTTTCATTAGTGCGAAACCGTTTCGGCACTAATGACACACAAATGCAGTTTCGGCTTCAACTTTGCAGTTAGTCTTACGCCTTCACTAAGCTGTGTGGTTTGTTGTTTCA